TTCTTCTTCTTCTTCTTCTTCTTCTTCTTCTTCTTCTTCTTCTTCTTGGAGGAGGGTTGAGACAGGGTTTCTCTGTGTAACCTTGGTTGGCCTAGAACTAGCTTTGTAGACCAGGCTGGCCTCAAACTCACAGAGATCTGCCTGCCTCTGCCTCCTGAGAGCTGGGACACCTTTAATCCCAGTATTCAGGAGGCAGAGGAAGGCGGGTCTCTGTGAGTTTGAAGACAGCCTGGTCTACAGAGTGAGTTCCAGGACAACCACAGGAGTTACACAGAGAGACCCTGTCTCACACCGTGCCCAGCCTCTTCCCTCTTTTTTTTTTTTTTTATTTATTTATTACATATACAATATTCTGTCTGTGTGTATGCCTGCTGGCCAGAAGAGGGCACCAGACCTCATTACAGGTGGTTGTGAGCCACCATGTGGTTGCTGGGAATTGAACTCAGAACCTTTGGAAGAGCAGGCAATGCTCTTAACCTCTGAGCCATCTCTCCAGTCCCCTCTTCCCTCTTTTTAACCCCTCTTTTTCTGTCTGTAGCATGGGGTGGTATAAACACCATGCTGCCCGTGCTTTCTGTTGCTTGCTGGAGACCCTGTGCTGGGCCACCTCTGAGAAGGAAACGGGCATGGATAAGCTCTGTGTACACAGCCTTTTGGGAGTGTGGGCTTATGTGGTGTCTGGAAATAGGGCCTGGACCACAGTGCAGAATATGCTACTTGGTTGTCTCAGCCTTATAGTTTAGGACCTCTCGAAAGAAGTTAGCTGCCTTATCAGTGAGGATGTCAGGTCAGATGGGGACAATGACACATTGGGGAGCCTGCTCAGCGGGGTCCTGTCCTCTTTAGCCTCCTCTGACTGGTGTAACTGCAGAGCCTCCTGTGTTTAAAGCCACAGACGGGTGGTGGTGGCTCATGCCTTTAATCTCTGCACTCCAGAGGTCAAGGCAGGTGAATCTGAGTTCAAGGCCAGCCTGATCTAAAGAGTGAGTTCCAGGACAGTCAGGAATATACAGAGAAACCCTGGCTCAAAAATCAAAAACAAAAACAATAACAAAAAGAAAAGTCACAAACCAATCCGGACACTAGGGCACACACCTGTAACCTATAACTCCAGAACTGGGGAGGCTGAGATTGGGGAATCATAAATTTGAACCTAGTTGGGGCTTTGTAACTGGACTCTGTCTCAAAAGCAAACCAAATAAAAAATAAAAACAAAATAAAGCCCAAGGCTAGAAATCTAGGACTTTATATAAAGTCCTTAATTAGTACCTGTTGCTGGTCACTAAGTTTTCAGGTTGTCCTGTCCTCAGTGTCAGCCTGAGGAACCGCTTTGTGATTTCCACAAGAAACCCAGACTCATGTCTTCTGTCCCAACCACCTCCTTCCATTCCCCCCTTCACTCACTCATTCCTAGTCCGCTGGCTCCTTGCTCCAGCTGTAGAAGGCTGGCCAGGCCTAGGCCCAGTGGGCACTAAGGTAGCTCATTTCAGGCTACCCCATTTTCTGACCTCTGACCTTCTGCAGACCCAGCCTGTGGCTGCTCAGGTGGCTTGAGCAGAACCTGGAGAAAGTGCTGCCTCAGCCCCCTAAGCCCTCCAAGGTAAGTGATGAGCTGGGGGTGGGCAACTGACCAGCAGGGAGGGCTGGGGCCCAGGGAGCTGCCCACTCCAATAGGCCACGGCAACCCCCAACATCCACTGGAGCATGGATCTTCTTGGAGAGTCGTTCATGGGAGGGGTGACTGACTAGGGCCTGGGGATATTTGGGAGCAAGAGAGAGCCACCGTATCAATTTCTTTTCTTCGCGATGAGGCAAGGCTCATTGACAAAGGATGCTTAAAGAGTTTATGTTAGCTCATGGTTTAAAGTGGGTACCATCTGCCGTGGTGGGGAAGCACCTAGCTGGTCATATTACATCTGCAGTCAGGCAGCAGACAGAAGTGAACGCTAGTGGGTCTGTCTGTCTCTGTCTGTCTGTCTCTCTCTTAAACCGTTTTTGTTGAGTTTGGCATCCCAACCCATGGCATGGTGCCACCTACATTCAGAGTGGGTCTTCTCTGTTCGCTTAAGCCTCTTTGTCAACTCCCTAAGAGGCCTGCCTAGAGGTGTGTCTCCTAGATCCTGAGTCAAGTTAATGAAGATCAGCTGTCATAGTCCCACCACCAGCACCAGGCACATGTGTATGCACACATGCATATACATGCGAGCTCATGGGGCCAGGGCACAGCTAATCAAGATGGGGTATATGCAGGGATGGCTTCGATCATGACCCATCTCTCTGTCCTCCAGGCCTGGAGAGCTGAACCTGAACCTGAACCTGAGGCTGCTGTTTTGGACCCAGGTACAGAGAACTGGGAGGGGCTTCCTAAGTGGTCACAGGCTAGGTTCCAGAGGAACCTGAGACTGAGCTGAGACTGTGGTGTGTGTGTGTGTGTGTGTGTGTGTGTATGTGTGTGTGGTCTCAGGGGAACCTTTAGTGCTCAGCCAGGCAAAGGGACATTCAGTCCTTGCTAATACTAGAACTCCACCTTAGATCTGGGACTCAAACAGCTAGGGTCAGCTGAACTTCACAAGCTCGGCTATGTTCCTTTCTCGTCCTGTACTGTTTGGTGGTCCCCAAGGCGCTTTTCGCCCAGTCATGGCAAGTTTCCAAATCTGGCCCTTTATAACCAGGAGGGACTGGATGAAATCCAGCTATGGGGTCTTAGTGCTGGTTCTGCTACCACTCAGATCCTCCAGAACTCCCAAGGAAGACAGAGCCCACAGAGAGTCCCTCCCAGCCCAATCCTGGAACCCTGGAGCCCAAGGAGGAGCCAGCTGCAGAGCCCCAGCCTGGTTTCCAGGCCTCTTCCCTGCCACCACCTGGGGACCCTGTCAGGTGAGCCCCCTGAAGACCACACCTCCCACAGGGAGCAGGCTCAGTGCTTTGCTCTAGCTCAGTACTAGTTCGCTAAATTAGAAAGTCAAAACATCCTCTGTGGGAGAGAACTCAGACTCCCCAGGAAAACCCCATCAGCATCTTCCTCCATCAGCCAGGCTGGGGAGTGTACTGTTCCTTTAAACTTATACCAAGTGCCCACCTGCAATCTCAAGAAGCTGAGGCAGGAGGATCATACAGTTAAGGCCAACTTGAACTCCATAGCCAGCTCTTGTCTCAAAACAAGCAACACACACACACACACACACACACACACACACACACACACACACACACACCTGTATCAAAAGCAAATTGCATGCATTCTTTTACAGCTCCTGTCGCCGGCCGCCCCCCCACTTAAAACAAATAAGTCCCCCAGAGTCTGGAGAACTGGCTCGGTGAATAAGAGTGGTTCTTCTGCAAGTCAGAGGGCCAGAATTTGGATCCCAATACCCATGTAAAAAGCAGCATGGTTGGGCAGTGGTGGCTTATGCCTTTAATTCCATCTCTGTGATGGAATTTGGATCTCTGTGAGTTTGAGGCCAGACTGGTCTACAAAAGCTAGTTCCAGGACAGGCTCCAAAGTCACAGAGAAACCTCGTCTTGAAAAGCAAAGACAGGGGCTGGAGATATGGCTCAGTGGTTAAGAGCATTGCCTGCTCTTCCAAAAGTACTGAGTTCAATTCCAGCAACCACATGGTGACTCACAACCATCTGTAATGATGTCTGGTGCCCTCTTCTGGCCTGCAGACATATAAGCAGACAGAATACTATACACATAATAAATAAATATATATTTTTTTAAAAAAACAAAACGAAACCTTGTTCACGCCGTATTTAGTTGCCAGGAGTAAATGTATGGATTAAAGGCCACATAAAAATCTGGGTGGTGCTGCCTGATGCCCATCCCCTGGCTTTTGTGAGATACTGGAAACGCATATGTGACCTGAGGTGAGGAAGAGAGCTGAGCTGAGCTCCCTACCAGCGCTGTCTGGGAAGAATGGGGAGGGGAAGGAGCCTTCAGGGTTAGAGACCTGGGGCTGGTTTCCGACCTGACCTACCTCCCGGCAGGCTTGCTCTGCCCTAATCCCTCACCCTGAGAATTCTCCTCTGGATTCAGCACGTTTCTCCACTACAGGCTGATGGAGTGGCTCTTACGCAGGCTGGAGATGGCCCTGCCGCAGCCCGTGCTGCATGGGAAGGCTGCAGTGCAGGTGAGTGGGCAGCCAGAGACCCTGGCTGGGTGGTGGTGAGGGAGGGGGTCTTGGAAGCTCAGAAAAGGGTCGGATGGTTGGCCCTGGGGATGGGGACACAGCAAGAAGGGAGCCATCAGCGGCAGCTCAGTCTTGAAGCCTGCTTGTGTGCACACATTTGCTCAGGTACTGTAGCAACAGGACTGGTCTACCTGTCAGGAGCTTACAGTCTAGGGACTTCTACGGGGGTAGAGGAGCTCAGAGATTGTCCCTTGGAGCATCAAGGAAGGCTGACTAGTGGAAGTGACCCCCAAGAATATACAAAGATTCAGAGACCTGGAATGACCCAGGAAGAGGTGACGTGCCCAGAAAGCCCACAGCCTCCATGAGTATTCCTGGCAGCTTAGGACCCAACATGGATGGTGGGGAAGTGGGGCCTTGGTCACCTCTTCCTTTTCTTCATCAAGAGACTAGGGCCTGATTTTCCTTTCTGGGGGATGACTCACCTCTCCACAAAGGCACCTAGAACTGGGAAGTGGTCATGTGACATTGGTCCTAGTTACTCTGGGAACCTTACTTTATCCCCGAGAAGTGGGTGAACAATTCTGTTACCACCCAACTTTGTGGGGGGAAAAAAGGAAAGAGCTTTGAAAGTAAGTCAAAGCGCGGGGCCTGGACGGGTCCTAGCCCAGCACCTCTGAGTGCTGTTGTTTCTGAGGTTGTTTCTGGGCACCCTCCCTGTGTCAAAAAGCCAGGGTACCGTGTTCTTCCCTCGTTGTTGGCACTAGGCCTAGCGGAGATTTTCTTCTCTGTTTAATGGGAGGTGCACAAGAGTCAGACACCCTGGGTCCACACCCAGTTCTGTGCGCTCCTCCCCTCCCAGATGGCTCAGTGCTGAGGGAGGCCGAGCAGAAGGTACTGAAAGCCAGCCTTGTGCGCATGCCCGTCATCATGCTGTCTCCGAAGGGGCAGAGAGCCACTGGCTTTGGAGATTTCCAAGCTCAAAGGGGGCTGGGGGGCAGGAACCATTAGCTAACGAAGATGCTGCAGTGACAAAGGACTCTGGGGACCACGGCAGCAGGGGACACAGGTACAACAGAGAGATGTCCAGGTGCTGGAAGGAGAGGATGGCCTTCTCATAGAGTGAGCAGAGGAGAGGGCGTTCCAGCCTGAGCAAAAGCTGGGAGCAGGCTGCGGTTCCGGGGGAGTCGGGGGTGGGGAGAAGGAATCCGATCAGCGGGCAGCCTGGAGCGGGGAGCTGACTCATATGCCTTGGTAACAGGAGCTCCGGAGGCAGGTGAGGCGGCCATTGCAGTGTTGTCTTTTCTCCCCATGTAGGAACCTGACTGCCCTGAGACATGTGATGTGCAGACCAGTAAGTATCCCACTCAAGGGCCCCATGTTCACTTCCGGGAGAGCCACCTGATATACTCAGGTCTGAGTGTGAGGCGCAATTAGGGTCTCCTAACCTGGAGTTGAGAGAGCCCCCTTCCACTCAGCATCTCTGGAGAGCAGTGATGGAGTTGGAGGCTAGAGTGTTTCCTCTCTGACTTCCAGCCTCTATCAGGAAAACAACTGTGAAGCCAAGTCCACACCCTTTCCTGCTGGCAATCACCCAGAACTGAACTAGGGACTGGACTCTGGAAGTTGGGCACGTGGGTTTGGCTAGGCAGAGTTGGGAAAGTGGGGAGAGACGGATGTTATTGGGAAACAGATTCTAGGGACTCCACAGACTTTGAATCAGAATTCCTTCCCCTGTGATGAGTTGGAAGGTACGTGGTAGCATTACTGGAAGGCAGAAGGTTGAGGTCAGGCAGGGACAGAAAGGGGCAGCAGTACTTAAAGTAGGTAATATACTGCATGATGGCAGATAGGCATTCATGCAACCATCCATCTATCCATCCATCCTCTGCTTGACCACTCCTCAGATACCCATCCATCCATCCATCCATCCATCCATCCATCCATCCTCTGCTTGACCACTCCTCAGATACCCGTCCATCCATCCATCCATCCATCCATCCATCCATCCATCTATCCATCCATCCACCCATCCAACAGTGATGGGGGTCTTGCTGCCACCTGCTTCAACATGCTTCAGCCACCTTTGACCTCTATCAGGAAAGCAATTGTAAAGCCAAGTCCACACCCTTTCCTGCTGACAATCACCCAGAACCAGGGACTGGACTCAGTGAAGTCCACTTGGTGGACTTCAGGTGAGCAAAGCAGCATTCAGGCCTATGAACAGTGTAGCCCCTGTACCATCCTAGACAAGTTCCCTCTGACTCTGGCTCAGAGCTTCCCAAGGTGGGAAGAAAAACTGTGTTCAATCCCAGACCCACTGGGCCATGGTCTCCAAGAGCCTTCTGAAACCAAGTGACCACTGTGGCCAGGAACACAAACAGCCAGGCCAGGGAGGCAAGAGAGTTCACAGTAATTAGAACAATACTCAATGGGAGGAAGAACGCTGCCCCAGCTTCAAGGTGGAGCAAGCTCTTATTTTTTTCCTGTGACTCCTGGCCACTCTAGAGTATTCATGGACCCCTTGGCTGTTAGAGCAGGAAAAGGACAAACCTTGGAGAACCAAAGGGACCCGCCTGTTCAGAAAAAGTCATAGGTAGCAGCAGCAACTAGTCTCCATTTGGCTAGGCAAGTGATTATTACTCAGTTTCAAGGTCAAGGACCAAAATTTCCCAGTGTCTATGCACTGCAGGAGGCTCAGATGGGTGTTGGGTCCTCCTATTAGCTCCCTGGAAGGACACAGAATTCTCAGTCGGTTGCAATTAGGCTTCCCCAAATTTCCTGGAGCAGGCAGGTCTCTGGTGAACAAGAAGCATGACTGGACACAGGCTTAACACAGACCAGGAGCTTAGGTAGATTTGTCCCCTGTGGCTTCCATGACAAATGTGCGTATGTCCATAATGGAGGTGCTGGGAAAGGCCAATCCTTTTGAGACCCTAGGAGCGGGGCTGTCTTTGTATCTCTCCTGATCACCTTGGGCCTCCTTGGCTTGTAGCTGCTCTTTCAGCCGCTGTTCCCTCTGTTCCCTCTGTTCACCTCCTCTTTGGAAGGGCATCTATTGCTAGGTAGAAAGCCTGCTCTAAACTCAGAAGGCTCTTGCTTTGAGATCCTGAAGCCAATCATGTTCTCAAAAACCCTTTTTCCACATAAAGTTACATTTACATAGAATAGGATGGAACCTGGACATGTCTTTTCAGGGACACTGTTCAACCCACTACATGGGGTAACTGGGGATCTGGAGATACATGGTCACTTCCTTCCTCAGCTCTGCCCCTAGCTTCCCCATCCATCCATACTCTGCTTGGTCACTCATATCCCCCTCCCTCCCTCCCTCCATCCATTCATCCATTCACCCATCCATACATCCATCTATCCATGCCTTCATCCACCCACTCATCCATCCACCCACCCTTCCACCCATCCATTCTCAGCTTGGCCTCTCATATCCCCATCCATCCATCCATCCATCCATCCATCCATCCATCCATCCATCCA